TTTTTCTCTCTTTGTTTCAAAACATGGAGCAACATCAACTATCAAACATGATTTTAAGAGTTTATTAAGGAGGAGACTGGATCAAAGGGAACAAAAAATTCTTATACTATTTTGAGATACTCGCTATAGTTTTCGAAAAGGAAATGTCTAAGCCAATATGCGATTAAGCCGCGCCGCGTGAATTCGTAGGACGGCCCATTCGAGTGACGGCGGCGCGCAGGGAGAGGGAAATAGCGCTTCGTTGCCTAGCACAGCCTGGCATGGCAATTCTATGTGTTTCGCCGCATCGCGCCTACAATATCCAAAAATGTTATTTTAGCTAAAGTTTTCCTTATACATTTCTTATCATTATAAATCGCGTTATTTAGCACGATTAAATACTTTTATTATAAAAAATTATTTATTATTTATTATAAAAAAGTTTTTTTTTATTATAGTTCTAAAATACTTTTGAAGCCATTCTATTTTCATTCTTGAAAATTTTTTTCTCTTTCTTATAGTTCCGACATTCGCTTCGAAAGAGAAACATCGATTTTTCCAATGATATTCGCTACAAAAGAGAAAAATCAATTTTTTTCCAAGGATTTTTTTTCACCCTTTAAAAGCGTATGGGCACGTATAAAAAAATACGTGTCGCTTATTTTTATCTGAAGAATAACATACTGCTCATTAAAATCGGAGAGGAGCAGTTGAGTCCCTTTCCTTGTAAGTTACAGATTTTTTTAATGTAATGAACATAGTTTAATGAAAATAAACTAAAACACTCAATTTTCAATTAATGTTTTTCAATACATTTAAGTTTCCAGTTACTACAAACTTAAACATCTCATTAACGTATACATAAATAATCTTTTTAGTGATAGAAAATTTAAATGTTATTCATCAGTGAACATTAAAGATTAATAAAATTTAAGAATGTTTCTAATGTACAATTAAATTTGTTAAACGGTAAGAAATATGTGAAAAAAATCTCAGTCAAATGCGTACATGGAATAATATATCTGGATTTACAATGTAGCGACTATCTACGTGAGCTTATACTATAATTTCAGTGTACATGCATTAACATGTCAAAAAATAAAACTCCAACTAAATATAGCATAAAACGACGCGACAAAGTGTATCTCGAAGCGTAATTAAATAGAAATATCGTATAATAAAGCAAGGTATCGATCAGCATACACTTTGCGTAATGCTCTAATTAATTACATCGCTTAACATACCTATAATTGTGTTAAACCGTATTTAATCGTACTAAATAACGCGATTTATAATGATAAGAAATGTATAAGGAAAACTTCAGCTAAAATAAAATTTTTGGATAATGTAGGCGCGATGCGGCGAAACACATAAAACCGCCATGCCAGGCTGTGCTAGGCAACGAAGCGCTACTTCCCTCTCCCTGCACGCCGCCGCCGCCGCTCGAGTGAGCCGTCCTACGAATTCGCGCGGCTTAATCGCATTGGCTTAGATTCTTTTTCTAATTCGAAAACTATAGCGAGTATCAAAATAATATAAGAATTTTTTGTTCCCTTTGATCCATTCTCCACCTCCAATGTGGCTCGGACTCATCTTATGAGACACCTTGTATATATATATATAAAATTGATAAGAAAAAAA